TGGATGATTGAGATATTTCCATTGGCAAGAGGAGGCATAATTGGCTCATATACATTGTCCTTCTTTTGAACCAATGAAATAGTTAATTAATCATCTGTAGCAAGATTCTGATATTTTAACTCATTCACCAACTAAGAAGAATGCTTTGCTCCAAATTCCAATTGATACATATTTTTAAGTGATTGTTTACCAATATAAACTTATATGGAACTAAAACAACTGGCAATAAATCAGGTTCACTTCATCTGTATATAAAGAAACCCTAATTAATTAAGGCTGTTAAGTCATATACAGTTCATAAGATATGCAATCTAGAAAATAATTTGAACTCTTTAGGCGTTTAACGGGGTATATATTTAGAATGAGAATGATAATTACCTGCATGGCACAAGACAATGCCGTCCGATGGGGTAAAACATCATACATCATGTGAATAGCCAGAACGAAGCGGTAGTCCTGTGTAAAAACATACAGTCCTGCTGCCTTTGCGTCATTACGGTCCTCGGCCTCACGCTCAAGGCTTGTGTAAATGGCAGGCACTTCCGTGGAGATATATTAGCCTTGTCATGAGACAACCATCTGACATTTTTTGCCTCCACTAACTTCAACTATGGGTCCAGGAGAAGTTCCTGTAAATGAAATTTGCATTTTCAAATTGTTATACCTCAAGATTTCATAATTAAAAATTGTCATTGGTGTTTTAAGATTTTTTTTAATATGAATTTTTACATTAACTCATGCTAGTTTCCTAGAAAATAATCATTAGCAATTACAATAAGTCGCTATGTTGTTTTAATTTTCTTTGTAACAGACCAACGTGAATCCGTTTGCAACTTTAACGAACGCACATATAACATGCCTTCAAAGATAATGTTTTGAAAAGCCAAACCTGAATAGCTTTCAGTCCACTGGTGCGGACAGCACTCTTCTCATAAAAACGTTAAAGATAACCAATAATATCTTTAATTTTCCGGAGATAATGCCTGTTCAACAGCTAAAGCCATTCTATGGGCTACACAGTGGTTGTTAACTTGGTGGGGGACTCTTCGTCTCAATTGTGCAGCCACACAATTTTGTTTTTCAACCATCATTTTCGCACTATCAGTTTCAAGGCTTACATCTTTTCAAGTTGGAGACACATGTCTTGTTTGAGGAAAGTCACCAGTGTCAAAGTGAAAGTGTAAGCTTTCCCGTCAGGCCTAGAAAATATGTCTTGCTAGCTCTTTCCTTTAGATATCTGAAACAGTCATACAATACTTGCATTTTGTTTGTGTTACAGCATTGGAAGAGATTTCATAATACTGAGTGAGCATTTGCATTATGTAGACATCTAAACCTCTGAATTTTATTTCAAATATGTTTTCATGTATAAAACTGTTAATGCGTCCAATTATAATTTAAATATCGAATTATGCTGAAATAATGCTTGGGGACAGTTGACAGCTTGCAATTCACAAGGCTGTCCATAAACAGGCACGATTAAAGAGGATCTGCAAAATTAATATTTTTGTTTCATTTTGGAGTGTTCATCAGGGACTCAGTTTTTCTGTATTTTACCTGATGTCAACAATCATCTCGCTGACAGCAGTAATGTCAGTAGTTTCATCGATCATGATGAAGTACCATGGTGATGCCTTCACGTCATCGAGGATTGACTGTCGGATAAGATTACCCATTGTCAGGATAGCTTCTTGTATGAACGTATGAACCTTTTAGATTCTCCCTTGTTGTTCTCGCCCTGGTGAAGATTATTTAAAATTTTGGCCGCCCTGATGTTTGCCTGCAAAAAAGATCAAAAGTTTAAATAAAAATATATTATTGTTAATGTTTCTCTATTTTATCTCATTTGTCATGGGTTTCTTTTATATGGTGCGGGTCCTTATCATACTTGATGTTTCATTGGGATTTTCGTTATTCGCCTGTTCCGTGAGGAATGCTTGATGTTATGTCAGTTTCTTTCTCATTCAGGATCTCATCCTGTTCTTGTGAAATTTTAAATAATATCTTTGATTAAAATTTGCTTTGTAACAGTAAACTTCCAACTCAACAAAATAAAGACATTCTTTGTGGTCATTTGCTGAACTGAATTGTTAGCCACAGTTTTTTAATGACTTGGTGAGATGTTTCCACTTTTTCTCTACTTGTCCATAGTTAAAAGGAAATGTGGAATGCTTCGTTTTATCTGCAATGTTTTTCATAAAAGGCTCTTTTCAGACAAACTTCATTGAATCCCTTGATGTTGTTTTATTAGAAGTAAACTGATGAGCGGTTCGTTATGTTGTTGTTGTTATTATGTAAATATTTATTTGTAGAAGCCACAAAATACTCAATTTATAAAAGAAATAAATTGAAGACAGTCATTTGAAGGTCATACACCTCCTATTTTATTGGAATTCTTGCCTGCATTAATTCAAAGTCGTTCAGTATTGACTATTGCTGCTTACAAGCGAAGCCACCGGGCTCTTTCAATTTGATACAGATATTTATTAAGACGAAAAACATGTACAAAAGAGGTTACGTATGTATATGAAGGAGAAATGCCTTCACCAATTCCAATTAGTGAATAATTCAGTACGTAACTTATTTTAGTTAAAACATATTTATTTAAAGTAAATGTAGAATGAAATAAATTATCAGAAAATCTCAGCTTATATTACTCGTTCTTTAGTCTTATTCCTGGAGTAATGACAGCATGTCAGTAAACAAGTAATGACTCATTTATGACCCGTGGCCAAGATCACTAGGTTGAGGTATAGAGAACATAACCATAAGGCTATAGCTTCTCCGATTTTTTTCTTGTTGTCAAATGGCACTCATGAAAAGTTTATTGAGGGATTTTGTTTTTGTTAGTTTTTTTTGCTTTGTTGAAGAATTAACACAAACAATTAAGGAATCGCGTAGTCAGATGTTAAGGTCCCCCACCCGAGTCGTGGCGGTAATTCGATGTGTATTTATGTGTAAGTGTAGTATCTTGTCAGATAGCATTACAATGTACTTGGAATGTGCCAAATGTATGCTAATGGATGATTAGATGTTCTTTTAACATATAATTTATACTTATTGTTCCTTAAAAAAAGTTTTATGCAAAATATGTGCGTTTACTCATGTTTAAATAGTCAGTAAAGTTCAAGGAAGCATGATCTATAGACCTGTTGTTATGTAATCATCATGTAAAGATTTTGGTTATCAATCAGTGAATTTTATTATATGAAATGTTGTACAACATGATGATGCGTCATTTTCTTTTTGCTATTAGAATATTTATACATGTACATATATTGTATGATTGTTCCTTTTAATTGCATATGTATATATGGTTTGTGTTAGAAATGATTGTTTTAAGATTATATTGTTGCATTAAAATGCTTTATTTTTTATATTTAGTTCTTATTTATATTTAGTTCATAAAATATTTATATCAGGTCGATAATGTGAAGAAAACATGTAGCATATATGAACTATTTTCTGTCTAGTCAACTTCCTTAAACTAACCTGTACTGGTGTTGTAAGAAGAAACATGGCTGGTTGTGACATCTGTTTGGTTCCAACAAACAATTAAACAATAAAACAATTAAAATTTCTTCAAATATTTTGTTCAAAAACGTTTAGGAAGACTGCTGAGATTTGTATCTTAAAGGAAATCCACATGACGGTACTGGAAATATTTTTTTGGGATTAATGTTCCATTTGATGAAGGTCTAGGACAATAACTTTTGTGCAAAATTTCAAATCAGTCATGAACGCCGTTTTTCCAGGATATTCCTTCTAATTGTCAAAAATGATCTAAATGAAAAAAAGCTGCAACTCGTTTCACATAAATAGGGCAACGAACAGCGCTAATATGTGATGGTCAATTATTTCCGAGTATATTTCGTTACTTTCCTTTGCATACCTTTCTGTTTTAAATGCCACATCTAATCTTTGTAAGAAATTCAAATTTTACGAGTTAAGGCTTTTGGACCGCAAAATGGAGTTACTTTACTGATTTACTAATTTTGTGTGATCGCAAAATGGAAAAAAATAGAAATACATAAAGTACGTTCAAAACGGCAAAATGAAAATTATGTTGCAGGCTAAATTTGATTTAGCCGTTGTTATGGAAGGTACTTGAGAGCACAGGCTGTCGTCAACAACCCCTAGCACAGACTTAAGCAAAATTCAACATATAGAAACAATGGTAATATTTTGAACATACAAACATCCGAAGATATTTATATACTGCGATTAACATAGAATCTTCAATTGTGAAGTGGCGTATTGTCCCCGTATGAAAAAATCGTGTACCCTTAATGAGAAAATAATGGGCGAAACTAAATAAAATTGAATTATTTTGCAATGGGAACAGAAATTAGCCTTCATACCTACGCTATCACAAATCAAACTCCTAAGCGGTGAATTTTTCAGTTGTTCAAGTCTTTAGCCATTATAGAATTATGTGAGTTCACATACACTTCAAATTTCTTCAATCATTATAAAGGTGAATTCCGATTTTCTATAATATACCCCTGGCCCATATATATAAAAACTAATAAATAAATGGGAATTAGGTATGTTGTAAAAACCGTACTTCACTCTAATTATTGATAACATTTCAAGTTTGATAGGAAACTGTTTGCCCTTAATAATTGAAATGTCAGTATGACAATCGACTTTGCAGTGGTTAAGAGGCTCTGCGATCTTGACGTATTTATTCATCTAGACCACACTGAAAGTATATAAACGAGACCACTTTCTTAATTATTACAAGAAAGGTACAAAGTTTAAATATGTTATCTGCCAATAAATGTACAGTGTTAAGAAGTAACCAGTGCTTGTAATCTCAAGACTTGATACACCTTGAAATGTATAGGCCTGCAAGACAGTGTACAGTACGTGGTTTCCCAATCTCTTCTTCGGTTTTATCAAAAACGTATCGATGCTAATCATTGTATACGGTAAAGATTTCAATGGGTAACAAAACAGATGAGTAACGTAAACATGCTTTTAGTATATTATGCATAGACTTAATTTCCATTTAAATTGAACATGGTTAAATATTTGTATTTATGAATCAAGAGTACTATATGTCAACAATATCTTCAATGTTTCCTGCCACATGGCGGCAACACATCTAATGGAAAATCGCATGTTTGTAATACTGTATTCCATACTAAACCTGAAACATACAAACTAATGTTGATTATCAAGCGCAAAGCGTAAAATAACATGTACATGTATTATCATCTTTATAATGTTCTCGAAAAAAGAGTCACAGTGTGCTGTCGCGACTCTAAGTTTCTATAAAATTATCAATATTGTTTTACAAAAAAAAATAAAGTACCGCTAGCATGAGATGTAATACTTAGCACATACGCATTCTACGTACTAGCATACAACCTGAACATGACAAATAAAGTCATCGGTGCATAATGGATCATATTAAAATCTAAAATCAGTTTCTCAATAACGCTCTGCTTTTGGAAATATAATAAGGTATGTTCACTAGTCCGGCTGAGACCTCATTTGAAGATACATGCCAGCATGGACCAGTAACTTACAAGGTATTTAAATTACTTTAATCTTAAAAACCTATGCCCGAGAATAGCCATATAATACATTTGTAATTTTATGCAACGCGTTTAAGATATTTTCATTATACAAGAAAACGTTTGTTTAGAATAAATCATTGTAAATATTAAAAACAATTCTAGTTCAAATTCAGTCGTCCTTTGACAGAGAAGAAAAGCATTTGATGAAATTAAAGGAAAGAAACAAAATAGCCGTATAAAATAAGCAAAGCCCGACAAAAGTTTTACAAGTACTCATTTTATGTATGACAGGTAATATGCCGTACTCATTTAATAATTTTTGCTAATTCTCGGCATGGAGAAATGAAATTATAATCACTTACCATTTGCACATTTATGATGTCCGTATAGTATACCATAAGAACACATATAGTACCATTGACAATTCGTCTCCAAGTCGGGATAACCTCCATCATCTCTTACCGAGCAGTCCCGGAATGTACCACATGGAGTATGAACATTAAGTGCACTGTCAAAACATAAAAGAAAATCATTCCTTGAATGTGAAATCAAAAGTTTACGTTTATGATATAAAAATGTACCACATGGAGTATGAACATTAAGTGCACTGTCAAAACATAAAAGAAACTCATTCCTTGAATGTGAAATCAAAAGTTTACGTTTATGATATAAAAATATTATTTTAAGCATTTGAACCTCAATATGAGCCTTATAGTGTGAATGATAAAGTTAAATTAGATAACTTTGAATGGTATAACTTCCTTATGCGAATCATTTTAGCTGTATTCTTGTACATGCTGCTGTCTTTGGCAAATATGTCTTTTTCTGGAACCGATATGCTATATCTATACGGAATTATTGTCGACATTGTTCGTAAATTGTGTACATAAAGAAGTACAGATATAATACCGGCATTTAGTTTGAAAATAGCTTTACAAATTGCAGGAATTGCGACAAAATTGTGAGCATCGCCTTATCTACTTGATTTCTGCTCTTATATATAAGCATTTAGAAGTAATGATCATTTGAGATTTTGCAGACGTTTAAGACCCTTAGACAACACAATGTTGACGTGGTGAAAAAAAAAACCTGTAATCCACGAGAACCAGTAAATTTTGGACAAAGTCAATCATTTTGGGTCTCATGCAGTCCTTATGTTTCAACTATTTTTATGCGAACAAGTGTCTGTAAATCATGTAAATTGACTCGAGAGTGAATGAAATAGGCTTCAAAAGATCTGTAAATGTTCGAAACGAAGACTTTCTTGTCAAATATATGCTTAGTGTATACAAACTTGTCACATTCTCCTGTCTCTTCATTTACAACTTTTGGTATGGTACAATCCAATTTTCTTGTCGTGTTATCAGTGCAAAAAATGGCTGACTGACAGCTAGATTCATATACTCCATTCGGTTTTCCAGTGCAATCAAAACAGCTTATTAAACCTGGTGAAAAATACATAAATCATTTATGTTGTATGATACACAAGTCCTAGAGATACAATAGTGGCCAGATCTGTCTTTATTCTGTTTCTTATTTCACTCTATCGAATATATTTTCCTTTAAGCGAAATGGGCATTATTTTACTTGCAATGTAAAATGCACTGTTAGCCCGTTATAAAAAATACTAAGACTTCTGATAAGGAATTTATTACTTATAAAAGAAATGGTAGACAAAAATATTAAGTATATTGATAATAATATTTATCTAATAATACTATGTTATCATTGTGTGAATTCATTTCCTTCAGTTACGTTACAAGAAGAGCAAACTTTTTTTGAGATGAATAAAGATTAAAACAAATTAACGCACAAATATTTATTTTTAGTTATCTGTTGTTTTTATCCCTTCTAATACAGCATCGACCATGCTGGTCCGTAACTATGGAAATAATTTGGTAGTTTGATGAATTTTGAGTCTTTTCATAGAGGTAGAGAGAAAAATACAAGCTACCTTCTACGGCACCTATCACTGGCTTTAGAAGAACTTAACACTTCATTTATTATGATATGGTCTTTAATCATATTTTATTTTAGGGAGACTCAGGCAAAATTTTGATTTTTTAGTTTTGAATTTTCATTCATAATTCTGTAAATGCCCTCAAAATAAATATATTAGACAGTCAAAGTAACAAAACTTTTCTCCATATAAAGAATTAAATGGTGGTTTCCTAACTTGACCCGCGTGGGTCAGGTTAGAGCGCTAGGATTTCACAATAGTTGTCAAAGTGAACTCTGGAATCGTTAAAGAACATGTCAAATGACTGACTTAGACTTGTTTGAAGCATAAAATATCCATAATATCTGTTATTGTAACTTCAAGGGTTTGTTCAAGTCATCTGACTTGTTTTAAAACTATTTGGTGATTCATTTGGCGTCTAAATTTTGTTTAACATATATAGATATATTTACGCTTATTTACCCAAAATATATAGAATTTAAACAGAAATTCATGCTGAAATTTCAGAAAAAGTCATTTTAGTGTGATTTGAGTATATAAGATCATTTTAATATTTTTGTCATTATTTTGCCTGAATATCCCTTTAAAAAACACAATTTTTAGAAACTACATACCGATTATGTTAATAAATAAGATTACAAGGACACATATTATTTTCTTTGACATCATTTTGTTCTAAAATACTATCTGAAATAAAAGACGAAAAAAGAGTAAGATATGGTCTACAATTTTTGTATGTATAGATAAATATAATTCATCAAATTAAGCAAATATGAAATTGATAATAGTGATCAATATTTTCTAATAAATGTATTATAAAATTGGTGAGATTGTTCTTGTTATAGTTGGCATAATGGAATTCCAGTTGCACTATCATGTGTTCCACGAGAGTTATAATTGTGAATATTGATATTTCTGAAGCGTGGTACGTGTGCCTTTTTTAACCCCCTTCCCATTTCCCATAATAATATTATTTTATATTCTTTGACACCCTATTTGTATGTTTTAATTTTAAAGGGAGATGTTACTAACCTTTTAATTCTATATTCTACTTTATTGTGTTCATGTATTTCATCGGCGACTCGTATTTGAAAAGAACGAGTGCATAATTATTCAGTGTGATTATATATATGTTACTTATAGTAGCCACCCAATAAAAAGCACAAGAAAAAACACAAAAAAACAACAACAACTAAAACCGTATTGACTAATCGCCAAAGAAGTACGCCACTGTTAATGAGTGTAATTTTATATTTTTGAGCAACGGACTTTGAAATTACTTCGTTTGAGGAGAAGAAACTCGTTCGTTTAATACATAATTTCACAGGAACATTCGAAAGACTTAACTATTAGCACATCAAGTTGTTGTAGCGGTAGATGGAACACGCAACACCGATTGGTAGTCAAAGGGTGTTACCTTTAGGTCAAAGCCCCCGCTCTCTGTAATCATATAGATTGAAATAGGTATGTTAAAATAGTACAATGTATACTTACGCTACTTATGCACAGTTAGATCAATCCGGCTCTTAACACGTATTACCTTAAATAGGTCATTCACTAAACATACCATTATCGCAAAGTTTATGTATGAAATCTCTAAAGATAAGAAAAAAATGTGTCATATTGCACTGAAATAAAAGTGTTATTTTAAATACTGCCTTATTCAGTACGTTTTTGTATTACTTTCTTAGTGTATGATAAGATCATTTATAAATATATAAATGTAGTTTAAAAACATCTTTCATATATTTCGTGTTTCATATGAACTGAAATTTGTTTTCCATTCATTTTACTGACCTCGGTAAACTTAAATGAAAATAAATAACGATGAAAATAATAAGAATAATAGTAAGTAAACAACATTAATGTATGCTAAAAAACATGGGATCATAACTTTAACATAATTGAAACAGGACTTTTGCCATATTTTGGTTTTGTCTTTGTCCGTAAATGCGCTCGAAAAATCCAAACGAGACGCATATGTGCACGTACGAACCTAACATTCATACATGTATATTGATGTTAACCCTACACCGGCTGTGTATATGAATGTAATAGAAAACTATACAATTATGGCACAAGTTGTCGAGTTGATATATATATATATATATATATATATATATATATATATATATATATATATAATATATATATATATATATATTATATGTTTCAAAAGATTGACTATTTCAATTGTGTTTGAACAATGATTGATAATTAAGAATATTAAAAAAGTTGAATTTTAAAGCTGCATAAAATATAATTTTTAACAACTGAGGATCATTTTTATAGAAATTTCCGTGTGTCAAGTGAATATTCATTAAAAATAGAATATGAAAAAGGAAACAAATGACAAATCATAAACTCATTTGGACTTTTACCTGTTTTCTCAATATTTACACTTGGATGGGCATAATGTCACATCTTTTTCATTCATATGAGGAATCTATCCGAAAAACTTACGAAACACTGGTGGTGCTACTTAGGCGTCCGTTCATGTGTGAAATAATGCAGAGAGGGGCACCTGATGTCTTTCTCCACCAGTTCTAAACTGCTGGAAAATCGCCTTATGGTGATGCACCGTAAAATCCAAACAAAACAAGATTGCATGCAATAAAAATTGCTATGCCACCACATTTATACAACACTTAATATTAAGAACAAAAGACGTTTTTGTTTCTATACATTTGCGCTTGCCATAATGCAGATGTGTCTGGTGAATTTTGGGCGACAGGTCATATTTCAGAATTTCAAATGAAAGACAATCTACAGATGGATGAAATGTTAATATACAACATGGCCATTGTTTAATCATTGGTTCATAACAAAAGTATTCTTACTTGATAAAACTTTTGTTATTTACTACATTACATAGTTGTATTTAACATTAAATAAGTTATTTTTCTTAAATACTTCTTTTCAATTAAGCATTAGCTATTTCTGAAAACATAAAACAAATTTAAGATTAAATTAATTTTAAAATAATAAGTTTATACATGGTGGAAATCATAGTGTCCTTATAATGCGCTCAGATCATTTTATATATATCCTTGCCAGGCAAATCAGCACTCTTTCTGGAGGCCATGACCTCAAATCATTTCATAAGATTCTCTTAAAAGCATACACCTCTCTTCATAGAGGATATAACCTTACGACAATCTCCCAGCTATTGAATATGTTTTTTTAGGAAAAATGCATAACATGTACACTTGTATAAGCAATAAGGCCACTGGCCACAAAGCGCTCACCTGAAGACAGACTGTAAATTGTTTAAAAGCAGTGCAAGCTAGTGTTTATTATATGAATATGACTATGTTGGTCACAAGACCATACTTCATGCAAAAAAATCATTTCAATAATACTATATCCATGGTCCTAATTTCATAGTTGTTAATCAAAAGCAAGAAAGTAGGTCAATAGGTCAATATTTAGGTCACTTTATATCAAATTTTAGTTCTACACCTGAACTTGTGCAAATGGCCAAAATGTCATAGCTGTATATAGAAAAGCCATAGGAGGTCACTTCATCAAAATCTAGGTTAGCTGACTTTTACATCTAAAACTATGTCTATTGTCCAAATTTCATAGTTTTACATCAATAATATAATACTAGTAATCAGTTTAATAAAAACAAACGCTTTTCTTAAGCTTTCGACGTTTAGTCTTCTTCAGAAAAAATTGACGTTTATAAAATGACAAATGACGCAACGTCCGTTTAACTATACGCTGAACAGAACGTGACGTTAACGCGGGAATAAAAAACTTTGTAAAACTTTTTTTTATAGTTTTACATCAAAAGACAAAAAAGGTCACTTTGTCAAAATATAGGTCATGTGATATTTAAGTTTGATTTGACATCTAAAATTGTGATCAAGGTCCAAATTTCATAGTTGTTCATTAAATGACAAGAAAATAGTTCAAAACATCTAAATCTAGGTCAGCTAATATCAGTTCAATAGGACATATAAAACTGTGATTATGGTTTAAATTTTATGGTTGTACATGAAAGAACAAGAAAGAAGGTCATTTGTCATAATCTAGGTCAGCTGTAAGGACAAGTAAGTAGTTCACTTTGTACTCTTTTTGGAAGGATGGAGCTTATACTGCCCTAGGGATTTGATCAATCCTTGTAGAGGTTCACATTGTTTCATGCCAAATATCTTAAGCTCTAGCCTTTTAAGCTTCAGAGGATGGTTTTTCCCATAAGATTTACTATAATTGTTTGGAATGTAAATCTATGCCTGGGGCACGAACAATTTTGACCTCATAGCAATAATTTGAAACAAAATTGGGCAGAAGTCAGCTACACAATGTTTCATGCCAAATAGCTTACCTCAAATCTTTATCATTTCAGAGAAAAAATTTAAGTTTTTACTATACACATATAAAGAAAACCTATGATAATCTACATTTATGTATTTTTAGGTCGATGAGAAACAAGGATTTGTTATTTATTTATATTTACCATTTTCGGGTTGTGCTTCCGGAAACTAACCGTCACCGGGGAATATAAGGAAAATATTTTGGTTTAAATATGGGGTTTTTCCCACGGTTTTTCGTTTAAAAAAGGGCAACCACCCCTATGCATTCCCCCTTAAAAAAAGTTTGTATTGTTTAATTAGATTTTTTCCGGCATTCGATCCCCTTTTTTTAGCTTGTATAGAAAAAATTATGTAAAAATTTTTTTTTCAGTCTACTTTCCCTACCTCAAGGTTACAAAAAATTTCGGTTTAAAAAAGCTTTAAGTTTCTAGTGTGAAAAATTTTGTATGAGAATTGTCACCAAAAAAAGCGCATGCCCAAATGTTATAAACGGGAAAAAAAACTAGCGTTAATCAAATTGAACATCTTTCAATATGAAAATTTCGAGTAAACATATTTAATATTCAATGAATATTTTGAAATTCGACCCAAGGAGTATTTCTAATCAACCCTTTTTGCCGCAGTTGAAATTTGGGTAATTGAAAATTTACACCCGTTTAAAAAAGGATAAACAAAATCGGAAATTAAAAAAATCGGGTACTTTTAGCTAAAATGGGGTGGTAAATTAAACATATAAAGAAGGGGAATAAAAAGCGATAAAGTCCTTAAATTTTGCCGGGCAAGCAATTTAAAACGGGAAAAAATGCCCAAACAGAAGGGGGAGGGAAAGTTGCAAAATTTTTTAAAAAACTTCATGCGAGACGGGGGCGAAAAGATGACCAGTTCCCTTTTGTTATTACAAACGAAAAATGTTTTTTGGTTAATGCCTGGAGAATTAACTTCGGAAGAAAATTAAAACAACTTTTGCGGGACATCCTTTTCTTTATATTTGGAGTCAGTACTGACTGTGTTGATTTTTGGCGTGAGGCGGGTCGGGGACTACCCCTTTTTATTTAAATTTTCAAAAATTTTGATTTGTAAACATATTGAATTGATGTTTCAATATATATTATAGATAATGTTCCAAATATTTTGTTTTGTAAAAAACCCTGCCGTATCTCTCTTT